GCTACCTTTTCTTTCGTGCGTGTTTTATTAAGAATAAATGAATTTGAGAAGATAAACACATAGTATTTTACTTCTTTGTAATTTATTTCAGAAATTGCTCACAATCAAAGTGTATTCGTATTTCTTGACCATTTTTATGTGCAAAAGTTGGCGATCCTTACTAGCAGTTGTATCCGGCGACACTAGCGCATCCTATAGTAGCAACCTGTAGCTTTGTCCTCAATTTCGACGGAGAGTTGCCGGGCCCTGATGGCGGCTTCTGAAACGAAGTGCACGAGCTATCGTACGTAACCGAGCGTGTGGCTGCGCTGTTGCAGGAAGTGGAACGACGAGGAGATGGAGCTGCTGTGGCAGGCCGTGACGCGCTTCGCGGGCCACCTGCGCCGCGTGGAAGAGCACATCCTCGCCCGGCAGGCGTAAGCGCTTCCCTCCCCAACGCATTCACAAACACACGCACGGCGGTAGCACACAAGTTAGGACCGCGTTCATAAGCGGACTCAGTCACAATGCGCTCGCATAAGCATAACACATAATGCGCTTCATGCTTCTGTGCTTATGCTGAAGTAAGACATAAGATATGACAGTAGGTTAATTCAAAATCGAGCATAGAAATGTACCATGGTTCATGGACACAGTCGATACCTCGAAATCGATTCTCACATCCAACCAATAGTTAACTAGAATGATTCAGCTAATAGAAACTCCTATTTTGCTTACGTTTATGTTATGCCATTGGGAATACCTACTTCAGTCTATCACTTATGTTAATGTTTACGTCTATGCGCTATGCTTATGTTTACGTTTGCATTATGAACGGGCCATTATAGTTCCATTTATTACGTTCTCGCTACCGCTTACGCGGTAAAGAGAAAGTTGTGTAATGCTGGGCGACAGAAAGGCGAATTCTCAGCAGAAACACTTATTACAGGGCCCTGGCAAAGAAATAATGGATACATACAGATGCTAAATTTAGAAATAAAATCCTCTAAAGCGTGATGTAGCCAGAATTCCTGTTTGTGGGTCCTTGATACCGAAAAGTCGAATGACAGAAAAATATCCATCTGTGAACAACGCTAACGGTTAAGCCGTTCAACCGATTTTCTCCAAAAGTGATATTCTCCAATCGATCTGTCTGAAGCCGCGGCCCCTTCCATTTGGCACCGATATTTTAATTTTGGGGGGCATTTTCCAAATTCTCAAAAAAAATGGTCCGTCGTTTTTATTAAATTTTCTTGTTGGATTGCGTAATGGACGTTTAAAAGAATGGTACAGGTCTAATTTTTGTTAAAACGTCTGCTTTTTCGAAAGTTGCATAAGTTCTAAATTTTTTCGGCGTCTTCCTAAATGAGTTTTTTCCCTTAATGAAATCCGTTTCTTAAAGATCGATTTTGAAATAATCGTTTAGTAATTCCGGGCAGGTCAACTGCCAGTGTAGTGCATGTTTTTTTTTCTCGAGCGGTGGCGCTGTATTGCGAGATCCAGCGCCGACTTACCGTCGGCTAGTGGGGTTTTCCCGAACCAGGTATCTCATCAGCGGGGCACCGCCCCAGCCGGGACAAACTCAAACCCCGACCGGGCTCCATGCGTGTGTGGTAGTGTAGTGCGTATTAGTGTGTGTGTGTGCAAAGGGTGAGGATAGGACAAGGAAGAGGGAGGTCGCGCGCAGTCCGTGGCCCGTTTGTTAGGGTATTGCTCCGGCATTCGCCTGGTGATGATTGAAGAAACCACGGGAAATTACCGACCAGAGCAGCCGACCGCTAGAATTCTACTCCAGACAGTTGAATTCGACTTAGCTAACAAGCTAGTGTCGAAAATCCAGCCACCGTCCGTCGGGACTCGAACCTACGACCTCTCGTCCACTGCAGTGACATCACTTGATGCCCTGAGACTCCCAGTAGACGTTTTTAATATTTAACTCTTAGACCTCTGTATACAGAGCAGTGATTGGTAGCCAAACAAATGCAAATAAGGATGTTGCATCTAGCCGGAACAAGCTCTAAGCTCCCGACCGGTCTCCGGCTTATGGCAGGGTAGGGCGGTAAGTAAGGGATGAGGACAGCACAAGGAAGAAGGAAAGATTGGGCGATGTCCGTGTCCGGTGTTAAAATCAAGCCTATATGCCAATTTTCGTTAGTGAATTTTGCATTAGCAGCATTCTGTGCACAATACTTCCATTTAGAGCAATACGTGCGAATAGTCTTTTTTTTCTACACACCATGCATGTCACGTCTTCGATTGATGAATTTTTTGTGTCCCAAAATACCATAAGATTAGAGGCGTTTATACGGTTTTTGTACAAAGGTGCCCACCCACGTAAAGCAGTTTTCATCTAAGAATTCATCGAATCATTAGGTCTAAGAGGCACGTACTCGGTGCTAGCCTCTGTTAAAACTAGTCGTGCTACCGCACGCACTCCCTCATATTGTTTACTATTACAATTTTTGAAAATTTAGAGTTCAATGCTAACGAAACCCGTGCCAAGCGTCCACCTTTACGCTATTAGTGTGAAACATCTTTAAAAAATTTGGAGCGTTTTGAGAAAATACTTTTTAATAGATAACATTAATTTAAAGAAGATATTCCTCGAATACAACTTGTTTTTTTCAAAAATTGGACATACCCGTTTTTAAGACAGATGTTTAAAAAATTCATTTCAGCCAAAAATCTCTAACTTAATATTTTCTTTTGCAATGTTATTTTTTTGTAATTTTCAGAAATACAGAGTTAACCGAAAATGAGCCCAGCGTCGTTTTCAACCATCCTTTCACATTTACGAGGAGAAAATTTAAAGAAAAATTGGAGCCTTTTTTCAGAAAATAATTGTTTAAAACTGCCTGTATTTCATATAGAATTACGCAAAAAAACACTCATATTTTTGAAAAATTGTACTTAACCTTGTTTCAAGATCTTTGCACAAAATATTTCATTAAAAAAAACATATTTTCGATTGTTTTTGTTACTTAAGGTCGCATTAACATTTAGGTCACTAGCGACCACTATTGCATTTAACAATATGGTAGCTTTGAAGATGACATGATTGGATGATGACAGGGGGTCGTGAAAGGAGGAACACAAATGCAACCATGCCCGAGGCGAGACTCGAACCCGTGATCCTTCGGTCCAAGATCGCTACGGCACTACTGCCTTAAAGCCTCGGCCATTCGGACCGGCATCTTCAAATTGTAGTTGTTAGAAAACGGCGAAAACCTATGAACTTTTGCAATTTCCGAAGAAAGATTTCAACAAATATGAGACCCGCTCCATTATTTAAGTCTTGACGCTTTTAAGCCTTTTGAAGAAAAATTATGATAAAAAAGTTGGAGCCATTTAAAAAATTAAAAATTATGAGGCATATGTAAAGTATTCTAAAAAATCAAAATATCCGTTTCAAACTCGTAGGATCTTGAGTTGAATTGTCTTGGTCAAACATTTTAATTTTGGAGAAAATCATCTGGGGGATTTATACTCTAGCGTTGACCAGAAACGACAGGCACAATGACGGACGGGCAGACAGATTTTTTGCCTTCAACCGAGTGTTCGATATCAATGATCCACAAAACGTGTTTTCATTACTCAACGTGATAGAGTAAGTAATTTACTACAAATAAAAACAAGGTTTATCCAATTTGTCGTTACCAGAGTCCGGCAATAAAGAGTTTTGCTGACGAGAAAGCGCCAGTTAAGAGCAGGGACTATTAAGAGTAAGGCAAGAAAGTGAAAAGCTAGGCATACAAAGTCACTCTTTTCGTAGATGCAGCCGCTACTTCAGGCTGATATAGTTAACACAAAAATTTATGCGAAAAAATGGCAGTATTGGGGCCGACAAACGGCAAAGAGGTGCTGAAAGATTTACTATATTTCAAAAAGTGAGAGTCGATCAGAGTAAATAAAGTGAACCTTCGGTATCAGGATTCATTTTCCACCTCCTCTCTGCGGCCTAGCTTCTAGATGTACTGATCAGGGTTGTGTCTCGAGAGAGAAAAATGCGGAGTCATTTTAACAACGTAAACGAATGTACTGGCGCTTAGAATGCGTTGGACATACCCAAGGCTGTATTATGAAGAATGTATATGTGGAGGTTCGAGCCTCAACCAAGACACGCAGAGCGAAGCGCCACAATTCCGCTGGAAAACTTCTGATTCAAACTCCAAACCACCACTCGGGAAATCACAAGCTCTGCGCTCGGCTGCCCTCTCGCCTTAAACTTCTTCACACGATCCAAGCGTCTCAATTCCGATTGAAAACTCCTCATTCTCACTTCCGAGTGAAAAACTGATCGATATTCCAGGACCCAATAATTTTGGCTCACTCCTCTCGTCCATGGACGATACACGCCGGCGTGTGCACGACTTGTGATTAAACATTTTCTCTCCTATGCGTCCTCCTCCATTCCAAACTTTCTTCCAGTCTCATTGTTAGGTGGTCATCATCGCTAATTCCGACTCTGATTATCATCAATTTTAATATTCAACACAAATTTAATTTAAATTATCTTTACTCTGCAATAATTTATTTTCACCTGTTGCATTTACAAGGGGGAGGTGTCGCTAACGTTACGCATTTATTAAAGGTGCATTCAAGCGCGCGTTAGAGGGGGGAGGGGTATTTGAAATACCGCAAATTTGCGTTACGTAATTTATGGACGGCCCCTAAACCCCACCACTGTCCTAGTTCCTTCCCAATGCCAAAAAAAACAGACTGGCATCCAACTGCTTTGGATATCCCCTTTGGGGATCACCCAAGGATCGCACGCGATCTGTGTTACTGCTATTTGAGTTCTATGGGAGTATCCTGCACCAGTAGGGAGAGCACTGTTTGTCAGGCTTCCCCGCTCCCTATGGAAGTGGAGGGGCGGTCGAAATCGAAGTACATAACCACAGAATACAGAAAGGAAAATCGACTGCGGCTTCTTTGATCTTCGAGAGGTAGCGAAGTTGCATTGATCGCCATATTGAAACCGAGTATTCACGGTACTTTAATATACGTATAGATACAGAATACTTCGCTTCGCTTCTGAAGTTTTAGGGAACTAGTCTATTGTATTTTGCGCCTGTGGTGAAAGAAAGAACCAAAATATATTTCAATGAAATGAGGGAAATCGGTTCTAAAGGACAAGATTTAATAAATATATCTTCAACCACTTTTCCTCTTACTCATTTACTATTTAAAATATTTACAAATTTCATATCCACATCGAAACAAACTTAACATTGAGCAACACCTGGTTACTGAAAACAAAGTAAAAGTGCAAAAAACCTCATGTCATACAATCAGAACACCGCAACGGAGACATAGCAACAAGCTGATGCTACCCAGGGTACAGATGGCCTTTGCCCAGCAATTTACTCGGTTTCAATATGGAGGACACAACAAACTGACGCGCGGAATGCAGGGAAGTTTCCATTCCGTGTATATTGGGTGATATGAATAAAAATGAGCTATTGCTTCCTTCTCGAGTTCTCAAAGCATTTGCTTCAAATATGAATATAGGGCGTGAGCAATTGCTCTTATTTTGAGCACTTTCTTCATTAGTAACTGCTCGGCCCAGGAGCAATTGGTTACTTTGTGCATGAATAAAATCGAGAATTTGCAAAGCATTTACTTCGAATTTTCGGAGCTACCTCTAGGTGACTCAAATCGTATTGAATGGTTAGAAGAGAGGTTGTACACAACTGTTGTGAGGTATAGTATACTAAAAACAATTTGCAAAAGCCAAGCAGATGTAGATTTTGGTCATTACCCTTCAACGTGTCCGACTTCCTGGCGAAAGAACATTAAGGACCACAATTTGAATAACTATTTTCTACAGAACTCTAGAAGACATGCACAGATAGTGAAGTTGCATTTATGTCCAGAAGCAAAACACGGGACCATCTCAGCATTTGCTCAAAGGGTCTGGACCAAAAACCTGACCAACATGGAAGTCATTGTCCCCCGACCTATTAACCCTCCGATGGTCTCTCAGCCGAGACCACAGCATAGTCAAATGCAACACGGTTTCCGTTTAGTTTTTCATCAGTATTCGCCCCTTCCAGTCTCTCTCTCTCTCTTTTTTTTTTTTTTCGAGAAGTTAATCAAAAGATTATGGGCAATCATGATATGTCAGAAAACAAAAATTGACATTTGTTTTTATGAAAGAACAAATTTCTTGCATGGCATCTTTTACAATATATAATCACTTTTATTTGTCAGAATGAAAATTGTATTTGACATAAGGGTAGAGACCAATAACATAGCCTAGCACAGTGCCTCAGAAATTTTGATGGTAAATTTTGTTTCAGTTCAGAAAATAAACAAAGAGTTAAGACTGAGGAATTTGAAGATGCAGAAATTCCTTATGAATCAACAGTGAATGTACAAATGTCTAATGATACTTCAGATCAAGAAACATTTGAGAAGTCTGAAATTGCTGATGCAACGTTCTACAGAAGAGCAACTCGTGATGATCAGGAAGATGATGAGAATAATGTCAATGCAAGAACAAATGCTGGGTTTGTGGGAATCTGATAAACAATAACCCATTTTAAGACATGTAATTTATGAAACCTGTAGGAACACCTCTGAAAATTCTGCAAAAGCTTTGAAATGAAAATTGTAAGTTGGAATTGCTCTGTTTAGTTTAAAACAGTTAAATGTTTAGGAAATAATATCTGTACAAAGAGAGGAAAATAGTCAAAAGATATTCTCTCGTATTTGTCACAGAAATTGTCTGTAAATTAAAAAAGAAATACAGCATAACTTTTGAACATTACACTCTTATTTTGCAGCTGTAGTAGTGTGTCCACAACTTTAATTAAAGCTCATTTATATTTGATTGAAATTTCTTGTAAAACCTTCCTAATTACAAAACATTGTATTTAAGTAGCATATTCTGTACTCTACCTTCAATCTACTTCATACTTCAATGAAATATACTTTTGTTACTAATCCCTTTGCTTTGTGCCCTTGGCTGTCCAAGAGCCGCTGCGTCAAAGGCTGTGATGCCAAGATTTCAACCACCTTGTCATCTTCCTCAGGGCTAGTCTGTGATATTGGAGTTGTAGGCAGACCAGCCCTGAGGAAGAACCATCGCCTGGACAGCCAAGATCATTTGGAAGACTTTGGCCATGGAAACCATAAGCTTCACAATCCCTAAGTTTCTTCATGACTCTGCATAAAATAACATTAATTCTCATTCTAAAATTGTCAGGTCAGTTGCCAGCGTCCTTCACTTTGTCTTTCAGATTCATTTCCGATCATATTCTCTCCTGCCTATTTCATACATTTATGCCCAAAGTATACACATGCATACACACAACAAATGAGGATTCTTTAAATTATAGTAAAAGGCTTCCGATGGAAGTTCACTTAATCCAAGTTGTCTACTCTTCCTTCAGAGAATGGAGATATCCCTTAGATGCCTTTTTAATGCAGATGTTTGTTGCCTGTCTACAAGGGATGATACTTGCATCTATGCTCAATGTTTCAATCTTATGTTCATGTTCTAGTGACTAAATCTATGAGGTATCCTCAAAAACTAATATTACAAGAGCACTGACAGTGCTCCAACATAATTCCTAACCACTTCCAATCGTTCATGAGAGATGTCTCCATTCAATTATTCTCTTATACTCTGTCAACTGTAGCCTCTGACCACTTCCTTTGGAGCATCAGAATGTATAAGGGATAAAATGGAAAGAATATTTGAACAGCCAAAATAAAAAAAGAGCCTGTTTATTGAAATATTTCTCAAAACTTCAAGGCACACAAAACACACATTCTCATCTTTAACAATAAAGAACAAATTCAAATCTCCCTCATAAACATGTGGAACAGCTCCTCTGCTCACACACTCACATGCAAAACTGCAGAAAAGGTGAATGTTCCTCTTTTGACAGAACAAAAAGTAACTTACGATGAGAAGACTTTTCTACCACGGCTTGTGTGTTACAGAAGGTGCTATTAACAGCTGTGGTGTATCAAAGATACTGTAGGTATGGCATATGACAAAGGGGACTCCATTAATTACACAGACACACAAAATTTAAAAAGTTCTCAGACCCAAAGGCTTGACACATTTCTCATGTATGCCTCTATGTATGTATGTATCAGCTATCATACATGTAACTCTTGGACAGACCTTTGAGGGACACTGATGCGAGAAGAGTTGAAAAACATTGCAAATATAGATTATGGATGTTTGTAGCTTTCTCAGTAGAATCCAAGTAGTCACAGCGCAAGACTGACCATGTTTGCTAATGTAAGTCACTCCAAACCTATTCGGAACACCGCAGGATATTCTTAGAATCCAGTATTCTTCTGTATTAGAAAACGTCTTTGGATGCCCCCTCCAGGCTGAAGCTCGATTCTGTTTTCCTAACTGAACCCTCATACAAATGTCACTCGTTGTACTAGTCTTCATCATTAAACTTTGAGTAATCTTTCGGCAGCTCTCACCTTACATAGAGTGAAATACATTCAGATGACTTCCTTCAAAAGTACTTTCTTCCTCCGTGACACACATTACGCCTTTGCAGAGGTTCCCACAATCCATACTCTTCGGTAACAAGCGCAAACTGTCCCTGGCTCATGGATGACCATCATTTAACGTCCGCTGATTTCAACAGTTTCTTTCTATATTTAAAGGACTTATATTTCAGTTCAGTCATGCTCTATCCAAATAGTTCTGAGGCCCACTGATTTGTATAAACGATGATTAAAAGATACGTTTGCTACCTAGAGCTACTTTTTTAAGAAGTCGTTTTCATTATTTTCATGGCTAACTTCGACTTACCTAAATTATGCAGAATTAAATTTTAATAATGATTTGTGTAAAACATTTGGACAAAGGTCTTGAAAATAGCAGGTGTCCAAATAGTTTTGGGAGTCATTGTAGGTCAACAAACCGAATCCTTCTTCTCCTTCCAGTTTTTTTTTTAATCGCAGAAAACCACTCTAAAATTTACTATTCCACTGTGTTTTTTGTAATTAAACAAAACTGGAGGGTGATGGCGCAATTCTTGCTTTATATTCAGATTCAGTGCATCGACATACATAGAGAAACAGGTGTCAAGTCTTTGGGTCTGTCAACATTTTTATTTTATTTTGTGTGCCTGTTTAATTCTTTATATATGACAGAAGTTGAATAAAGGTAATTTTTAGTTCCAGAAAAACTCTTAGGCCTAGAACACACCTATCAAACAAAACACAGAACACTTGCAACAAAATTCAAAGGATGGGACTGTCATGACTAAGTTCCAAGCCTACCTTTCCCATCAAAATGAGGATACAAAATGTGAAACAGTTCACATGTGAACATGTTCTGCGGCATGCGAGCCAGTTTCTAACTGCTACAATAGTGACAACATTAAAACTGATAGAAGATGTTCAGTTCCTACCGTCTTTGGGTTGTAAAATTTGTGAATTATAAAAACAGGTATACAAGGAGGGATGTATGGAGGATAAGGCACAAAAATACCAAATGGAAACACTGAAAAACAAACAGAATTTCAAAACTCAAATCATGTGAGAACATAAAAAACTGATCAAGTTGAAACAAAGTGGTTCTACTCCTACAAAACTTTTGTTGGTTACTGCCCATTACTGTATTTGCGGCAAGGAACGGAATCCAGTTCCACATTTCTGAAGTGCAATTGTCTCCATAGTCATGGACATGTAACTTCGGGTACAGTCTAGGTATGCTGTATCATAACTGGCCATTTCCAATGTTGCTGACAGTGTCGAGGTGTGAACTTGCCATTTAGAGGAAAAAAGAGGAAACAGAAATTTCAATAATTTGTCTTCTATAATCTTTCAACAATCCTTTTTATCTTATGTATGCCATTTGTATAAGCATTTGTTTGCAATAAAATAAATTAATTTAAAAAAGATGGGCATCAAATCAGAAAAAAATGTATTTGTTTACTTTCTTTTCCTTTTCTTCCTTTTCCTTCAATACACACAACAGAAAATGAAGTTATTTTTTAAAAAATTTAATTAACACAAATTTTAATTAGATGAACAAAAAATATAAAGCTATTTTGTTTAAATTGATTGTTCATCCCTTCTATTGCTCATATAATGGGAGTTACGCAATTACAATATTTGTTTGTAAATTAAAATTCTTGTCAGTTTTACATTAGTAAGTATTGAAAGGAATTGTTATATACTGAAGTAACATTTCTCTGTTTGTATAGGACAAATTCAATGCTTGTCATGGGTACCATTTAATATAATCAGCCTCTGATTAAGTTGTTCCTTCATGCTATAAAAATGGCTGATTGAAAAAGCGAACTCAATTCAACTTCTAGTAAACTCAATCATCTCTTCATTTGGTGACTCTCCTACACTCAGTTCAGTTGTTTCCACAAAATCTGTCCACACAATTATCATAATCCAAAAGAGTATTTACTTTTGGAGTTAACAATGTTATATGATGACCTACCAAAATATGCTTGCAAATTAAATTTGATCTGTTAGTCTGAGCCAAATTTCAGTAAAGTTTGGAAATAATTTTCTTAATCTTCTTTCTTATGCATTACATATTCAGCGTCAGTTTTCTTCAATATCAAAGACCTCAACTAAGGAAGCAAAACTCTTTAATAATGTTGACCTGAATCTAAAATCCACCTTTCAAGTCAGAAGAATACTCGGTGGTCCATTCATCCTCATTTTACATTTCATCAGTCACCTTCAAACCCATTAGGAGATTCACGTACAATTTTTCTTCCATTGTTATTTTCTTGAGCTTCTTTTCCAAGTATAACTCTTCTGTTACGCTTGGTTTTAATTTTACTTGGAGCAAAAATTGAGGGTACATAAGCTGGGTGACTAGCTATGTTACTAACAACCCCTCCCACAAAATGTTCACTGCAAACTTTTGAGTACTTCGTCGGCCTCCAAGGTGTTCCATCAGGGCTAGAAAATAAATAAAAAAGTTATTACTGAAAAAAGTTAAACATTATTAGAAATTTACAAAAAGCAACAATAACTCATTATTTACAGTCCCAAGTTTAACAATTGAAAAAATTAATATGAATTTTAAAAAATTCATTTCCTTGATAATTATAATTTGGGTGGATGCCAACTGGACATGTTTTAAAATTTGCAGTTCCTTGTAGAAACAAATAATCTTAATCAAAATATCTTATCATGAATATTATATCCACTTTGTCAAAGACCCAATGACTAGTTTCAGGCAAAAATTAACAGTAGTATCATCAACTTATTTAAATTAAACAAAGTGTTTAAAATTGCGTAATAAAATACATTCATTGTGTGCTACCAATTAATCAAATGTTCGTTTTCTCATCTAGACTCCAATTATTTAATAAACAAAATACGTCTCTATTTCCTGATTTCCTGACAAGTAGGCTAATAATAAAAAAAATACAATTATTAATAATTGCTTTAATTTATCCTCCAAGTAATAAACTAATGCTAGAAGTTGTTTTACAATTTATAAAAAACTAACACCAAATCCTGTAAATGCACCAATGCACACTACAATCACTTATTACTCGGAAATAACATGTCCTAGGTCCTTAAATCTGCTTTTCGTGTCTATTGGGACGGGGCAAGTCCAAGAGCCTCAAGGCACGAGTTACAATGTTTCTTAAGAAGTATTTTACTATTTCAATCCTTTCTGAACCCTTTGTTACATTCTTTGAGATTTCATGGAACCTCTACTCCTTAGCATCCATAGATGTCAGATGCGACCAGTGATTAAATCTATGTAAAATTAACAGACCCAGAAAAAAAATTTCAGGAAACAATTAACTATTTGATTTTTAGTGAAATTTAATCTTAATTCTTAGCAATGTTAGAAAGTTTATTCACAATATTGGGTATAAAGTATAATAATCTACTACAGTTAAGGAATTAGCAGACTGAAGATAAGATCACAAATAAAGCTATTTTCACTTTTAAAAACATGATTTACGAAGTGTGAAAAGTTGAGATAAGACCAGCTTAAAATATTTAAATTGAAAAACAAAAATAACAGAGGAATTTGAAAAACAGAATGAGTAACAATAAGCAAAAACAATGTGACCTGAATACATTTTATTTATTAGAAATACAGCCTCCAACCTGAAACGAGTTTGATATCATTAAAGTAAATCATCAGATTGTACTTAAATGATTTATTAACTGAATTAGCTGGATCCGTGCAAACATTCTGCATTTTGAAAATCTTTGTCTGAAGAGTAAAAAGTTGACACTAGCATGAATTGTGTTATACTGTATCAATAAGTAAAACAATATTGAACATTCAGCTGAAAACAAAATACTTATTGTTTTATTACCAAATTGAAATATAGATCTGCTTGTGGCAGATAATCAGTTTTGACCAACCAGTTTAGTCGTAACAAAGTTTCTGAAATGATAACCGCTTGATATGCTCGATCAATATGATTGAAATGAGGGAAATATGCGAATGCCCAGTGAGTGACATACATAAATCTCATTTTAAATTTCTTTTAAAGTTTCTTACACTTCTTATTGGCATGGTTTTTTGGGCTTACTGTACCAAATAAACTGCAAGTGTTTCCTACAGGTTTACTCAAGGATACTTCCAAGCATTGTACACCAAGAATGTTCAAGATATTATAAAATCCCTAACAGATACAAATTCAACAACCTAATAATGCAAAACAGTTTAGATTTGCATTTTCGAATCTTCATTTATGTTGCCTCAAACTTAAGAGTGTTTTTGTAAGGGACCTTGTCACATGTGGTAACAAACAGTTAAAAAAATTGAGGTTCCCAGCAGAACTACTGATTTTTATAATGTAAAAGCTTACTTTACTTCATACACCACATGTTCCACTGTACATTTACAATTTATGGCCTTATACTCCACTTATACCGATGACAAAGAAATACTCACTTTACACGATTAATAGCCGTAATCCACATCTCTTTTCTTTCCTTCTCATATGCTTTTCCAGGAAAAGAATGAAATTTGATATGTCCAGCACACCTCTGCGGGGAGTTACTGCAGCTTAATACACAGCAGCTCGATTTTGTGAGAGGCTTTTCCACTTTGATGTAAGCAACTGCAAAATCAATGCAGTACAGTCAGTGTTGTAGGGTGAGCATCTGACACCACATGCGGAGGGAGGGGAAGTACTGTAGGGGCAGGAGGAGCCCTCCACCCCTTTCCCTGTACTCCTATAAGCCCATGGGCACACGAAAGGTAGCACTGAGAATAGGGATAACCGAGGTCATGGCAAACAGCAGTTTACTGGGGTGTGTTACCTACACGGGCGTCGGCACCTGATACACCTGAGCCTTAGCAAGTATGGCCCTTCAGAAGAGTGGGCAGCAGCTAGCTTTGCAGTAGATAGCAGTTGGGTTGGTGATTCCTGGAGTGCATGGCAGTTGGTAGAGACGGTGGGGAGCTGCTAGCACGACCTCCAAGGGTCAGACTGGATTAGCAAGGCGGATGAGTGTTGGCAGGGCCAGTTGGGACTGATCTGAACCTACAAAGAGGTGGAAGAATGCTGGCAGGGCCAGTTTGGGCCGAATGTAACTGACCAGGGTTGAAAGGATGTTGGCAGGGCCAGTATGGGCCAAACTGAACTGTGCAAGGGTGAAAAGAGGTCGGCAGAGCCAGATTGGGTCGCACTGAACCGTTGAAGGAGCCGAAGGTCTGTACGCACAGGCGACAAGCGAGCAAGAAGCATTCATGCCCCCTCCGTGGGGAAGGTCAGGTTCTTACAAAGACCTTTACTGCTGAGACGCTTTCTTCGAAGCAGAACTTTGGCACTTGCATACACAGGTACAAAGTATGAAATGAATAAGGTAGACACTCATTGATTCACTTAAAATAAAACACTAAATCTTAAACATTTTTAGGATTCCTTATGTGGCAATCTCTTAAGAAAACTTTTAATTTTCTGGACTCCTTTGAAATTAACAATGAAACACTATTACAAAAACATTTTTATCGAACTTTTGAAGATCTGGGAGCAACGCAAATGCCTCAGATAGTTGATGCTTCACAATATGCAAACAGTTTGTTAGGATCAGTTTGAGAACCACTGAGACGAAAGAATACCAAATGATCTGGAGCCAAACATGGTGGGTGTCAAATTGTTTTCTAATTCATCATTCAGCAGTTTGAGTTCTGAACAATGAGAGTACATTTCTCTTAATAATCTCCCCATATAACTGATAGAAAGAAAAAGAATTCAAAGAAGAAAAACAAACTATGAATGCATTTCCATAATGAATGTGACACTACAAAGGGATGCAAGATACACAAATCAGAAGTGAATACCAATCTGTGACATGTCTAAGAACATATTTACTGAAAAGAAAAAGCGTCTCCAATTTTTTGAAAAGGTTTGGTTGAGAAGTTTAAAAAAAATCTTTTAAAATCAATTAATGTATATGCACTAATTACAAAATATTGAAAAGTTATTGATGTAGAATTATTATTTACTTAATCTCTTCTGTTTACCTGCCAAGTCAAAACGTGAGATTCATGCGTTGTCATCGTTTCCTGTGCCGGCCTTGCTGTGGCAGAGGCTTGGAAGTGCTGGCCAAATACGCAGAGCCAACAGCTGCACATCAAGTCCCATGTACGGTATTGGTGTTTTCACCATGCGTTTGTTGTGAGGTTGCCTCCCTCTTACTACCACATATCACATTTGACCATCACCCCATCCATAATCATCCATCTATCAACATCATTCAGCCCTCACGATCAACCTACCATCCTTCGCACAGTAACCCCCTCAGGAAAGCCACCACCACGACTACAATACCCAAGAAAGGGGAGGGCATAAAGATGGAAGCCACCTGCCCTCATCTCATTGTTTCCTACTAGCTCACTCACTCGGAGGTTTCCAGCCTTCTGGTGTCTTCACCACCGAGATGGTGGCGACAGCTCTTTGCTTCAGCTGGGTACTTCTCTCATGCTGTTTATGCCTCCTCCAATGTTCTTTCTCCTCTTTCACCGTCAAATTTGTTGAAACTTCGGACACCAATGGGCTTTTGATTCCTCCCTCTTCATCAGACATGAAAATATCCTGAAACATACAAATTTAAAGAAATAAATTTTTGAAAGACTAAAGTTCAGAAATTGTCCAGGCATTTGAAATTTGCAAAAGATTCAATTGCATACAAAGGCTACAATGGAGCTTCTATTAAACTTTAGGTGGCCTTTTTCATTACTTTTAAGAGACATTTATTGAGTTTTAAATTGTAACTCCTGAGTTCGTTCACATCTCAAATTCAAATTTTTTATACAGTTGTTATACAAATAACTTACAAATTATAAGAATATCCATAAAATATTTCATTACAAAAATTGAATTTCTAACTCTAAATAATTAATAACTAAATATTCAACTATGTACTTGCCAATTTGGAAAATTTGTAACCATACATTCTTCCTTTCCAACATACGTCAAAAACCTCCTTTATTAGCTTTACAACACATGGAAACAATGTTTTTATCATTAAAAATAACTGAGCCAACCTAGATGCCGAGGTGGCCGAGTATGTACTGACCCAGCACACGAAGAGTCCCCGGTTCTAGTCCCGCCTTGGGCATGATTGTTTGTCCCTTGTCTCTCATGTATGTGTTGTCGCAGAGGACCTCACATTCTTGTGACCCCAGATTGGAGGAGCCAGCAAGTGTGTTAGTGTCTAGTGTAGGGTCAGAAATGTGCCCTATAAGGACGTAAAGAGTAACCAGCTGTTGACTGGAAAAAGCTAGAAAAGAAAGAAAAGAAAAAATACTGAGATACTACCATTTCTTCCTAGTAATTCTTTTTTTTAAAGCGTTTTAAACCCTTGTAACATCAAAACTATTTTTACACAGGAAGCAATTTTATTTACACTCACTTGAGGCACCCAATTTCAAGGAAAAAGAAATCGATGGGTTGGGATTCTTGTTCATTTACGCATGGAATGACCCTGCTCTGAGTCGTTATTGAAGTCTAGTTTTCAGAGCCATAAAATTCAAAAGGAAATATCACAGGTTTCTTTTTTTTTTTATATATAGATTAATTTTAGTCTTAAATCCCAATTGATTTCTTTGATGAATTTATTACTTTCAATTGGCAACCTTTCTGAAAACGATTCTTCTTTTTATTTCTTCAGTCCACTGTCCTCCTTGATTTTGTCACTCTCAGAAACGTTACTTCGTTGGCTGCTTTTATTTCTTCACCATTTATCTGTATTCTTTCTTCCTGTTCTTTTGTCCTTACAATCATATTTTTTAGGTTCGGTTTACTGCTCGAATCTGGCTTTCTTCTACCACTCGCTGTAATAACTTTTCTAGGTCTTTTCTGTCACTACAATAGGATCATGTCTGTACTGAATATTCTTTACAATACATCCTCCAATTCTTAAACCAATATTTATTCATTTGATTTCACTGATCGCATGTGAATAAGTTAAATAACCCTGGAGGGAGAAAACATTATGTTCCTTGTTAACAGTAAACCTATCGGTTTTGCCCTCAGCTAAAAGGGTTTGTGCCTCCTGTGTTGTGAAGAGTTACTGCATACTCAGGTATGTCCATATTAGTTAAGATTTTGTCATTTAAGGTCGCAACCACATGTTAATCACTAGCATCCACTATTAGATTTAACGTTATGGTAACAATACAGACGACATGATTTGGTGATGATAGGGGGTGAAAGGATGAACACAAATACAACCATGCCCAAGGCGGAACATGAACCAGCGATTCTTTGGTTCAAGATTGCTATGGCACTACTGCCTCAACAATCTCAGCCTCTGGATCGGCATAGATGTTTAATATCAGATTATGATCCACAGTCAAAATTTTTAGAGTAATCTAAAAAACAAAAGAACGGTCTCTCATGGAATTATCTGCCTTCTTCCATTATCCAAGGCTTGCTATCTGAAAGGCAGGTGCCCTTGCCTCTTTCCAAAAAAAGGCTCGTCTTATTTATCATAAGCATTATGTTGCTGACATGACAGTTCAGTGCTATTGTTCTTTCGCTAACTCAATTCCTGCTGTCTCCTTTCTTAGGTAACAGTATGTAAATAGTTATCTTTCCCTTAGCGAACCACTTTCTTTTTCCATATCAACTTCAAGAGCTCTAAAATGTTTCCTACAATTCCATCTCCTACATTTTTTATCACTTTGATAGAAGGTCCAGAAGATTTTCCATTCTTTAATATTCTTATAATACAGTAAAATCTGTCTAAGACAAAACAGATCAGGACAAAAAAAATGTTCTGGTTTAGGGAGGTTCCGTTTTATGCACTGTTGTACATTTAACGACACATGTAATATTGATATTTCCATTCTGAAACTAGTAAATTAATGTAAGTAAATAAATAATTAAGTAAAGTAAAAATTTCATGATTTTATTATGATTATTAAAATAGATGTACATTTACCATATTTATGGAAGAGATCACCAATAAATGAAAACATTAAACATTCTTCATTGACAGCTTCTGAATTTCTCTTGCTTCCACAAGTTTGACCTTTTCACATAATGTTAGAGCTTTATGGTTTTCGCTGTTAAATTCCTTGTGTAACTCATAAAAATTCACACTACCTCACTGCCTAATGAGAAATGACGACGTGCTCAGAGCATGGTGGAAAGACAAGAGTACTATGATTTTCTGATACTCGCCCATGGCCTAGAGCAATGCGTCTCTGGCCAAGGGGCTACGATTTTGAATGTGGGGCAGGGAGAGGGGCAAACAGAAGCCATGCCTGTACCTTGTCCCATACTCAGAGAGGAGGTGAGGGGGAGGGAATTCCCCTACGGCTTAAGCCTCGAGACAAAAGTGACCCCAAGGTCAAATTCTACGCTGTCAGCTGAAACTCTTCTCTTTCACAGTGTGGTTACCTCAATTAAATCTCATGGGATAGAAATGCATTTATTACAGAACACATCAATTGGAAAGTAATTTTTTTTTTTATGTATCTTCATTAGACTGACATGAGCTTACAAGTCAAATCAGTTTGAAGGACACCGGAACAGGGGTCGTCCATAAATTACACAACGCTAAAGAGGGGGCAAAAGGGGCGTCTGAGGCAGCATTATGCTGCGTTACATAGAGGTGAGAGAGTATTAGTTAAGTGTTACGTAACATTGATATTTATTTTTTTACATTTTTCAACATTCTCTGAAATAATTCTTTCTTTTTGATTCCTCTATTAAAACATTAAAATGTTAAATAATTAATTTGTTTTAAAACATAAATAACTAAGTTATTATATGTAAATTGTTACAATGGAAACATTTTTCTCAACAATTATTTATTGAATCTCTAAGATAACAAAGAAAATATATGATATGTAGGAAAAAAACAAACTATCTGTAGTATATTCCAGAATCCATTTAAATTAGCGCACTACACCCTCGCTCATGTGCCTTCCATGACTGTGTTTGCACGGCATGTGATCATTTTCTCCCTCATGATGCATCCTTCCTTCACTCACAACTTGCCCCAATCTTATTGTTACGTGCAACCAGCATCAACAACTATTTTCTACTTTAATTATCATTTATTTTAATACACAACACAAGTAAAATAAATATAAATTGCTTTTACTGTGCTACAATTTATTTTCACTTCTTGCATTTACAAGGGAGGGGCTGTTGTCGCAAGCGTAACATAAATATTTAGGAAGGTTCAAGCGGGCATTACAGGTGTGTTAGAGGGATATTGCAGGGTATTACAGCGGGTATTGAAAATACTCCACTTTTGCATAACGTAATTTATCCCATAGGAGAAGGCCAAAATTACAAAATCCAAAAGTTAAAATTGGTCCCCACCCTTGTTTAGTTTCCTTGGAGTATGCCTAATAGAAAGTATCACTCACCTTGTTAGCATTTTCATAAATGTCAGTTTCTGGGAACAACAATGCGGGATCCCAGTCACCCTGAGAAGAAAACAAATGTCTATGTAATACAACACTGGAAATAAGTTTGTGCGTGCAGGGGTGCCCAGAGAAAGCCGGGGCCCTTGGCCAGTTGATCCAAGGGGACCAGACCAAATTAATTAGTATGCACAGGGCCTACCAACATGAGGGGCCAACAATAGAACCTCCTGATTTTTTCAGAAGTTAATTTCCAAGTTAAAAATAAATCAATCACATATATACAAAATTATAAATTTCTTTTTATCTAAAAAAGAGCTTCAATTTTTTATTCATTACAATACACTCCTTACATAACAAATATAAGTTTGTAAAAGTATGCAAAAAATAAAAAATATTGAAATCTTTCAGTCACATACGATGATGTAAATTTTAAATGAATTGTATTCCTCTAAATTAACATTTTTTTAAAATTCTAATTTAATAATTACAGTTTGATACGATCATATATTTTTTCCGAAGCCTACTAAAAATTTGTGCCTACGGCCCACTTCAAGGTGAATCTTGCCCTGAAGGGGACCCTTTATTTCAAACAGAAAACTTCCTCCTCATAAACAAAATGTTTTTTTCCTTCTGATAACTATACATGATCAGAAATAACTTATAACATTAAATTTGTATTACAGAAAAATATATTTTTCATTTCTTTTGAATGAAAACAAAATTCAGGAATCAATTAAGTTGGGACCTGGGGCAAGTTGCCCCTTTCTGGTTTGTATATTCTCTCGTTCTCCTGCAATGACTTCTGAAGGACATTCTTGGTTTTACTTTTGTGTAGAGAAATATACAGAATGAAGGAATATTCATTCCAAGGAATATTCAAGGTGATTAAGAGAATATTATCTTGTTCCCAGAATGTACTCACTTCTCAGGACATACAATATACTTACTTCTAAGGACCCTAACAATTCAGATGGAGTCCACATATGAGCCTGCAACTGAAAATAAATAAGTTGCTGTCAATGCATAACAAAGAAATATTAAAGTAAAAATTAATATTTTAATATGAGTCAATGGTCCAAAATTAAATTTGTTTTGCTACTTTGACAGCGGTTTCAGCTGTCAAACTCGCATTTTATCGGTGTTAGAGAACAAGACTAAAAACATGTGCCCAATTTGAATTTAAAAAACAACTATTCTGCAAAAAATAAGATTGTTTTTAACCACACATAGCATTATGAAATTAATGTATTAATAACTATTTGCTGAACAGGATGAAAAATTTGCATATAAGATGAGAGGTTATGTCTTGCATTACTTTAACTATAAAAACATATATTCCAAAAGATGTTTAAAACTAATTTTGGAATGTTTTAGGTTGGTATTGATGATCAAAATGAAAGAGCAATGGAGAATAATGCCTTTAGTACTGCACTTTGAAACAAATAAGTAAGGGATTCGTTTGAAATGTTTGGCATCAAGATGCAAGAACATCGTCTGAGATGAATGCGAAAGCGAAACAAATTTATGTGAAAAATATACAGTACTTTAAAACAATAAACAAAAGGTAACATTCATACTACTGTGCTATGACAACAGATTACAAATTACCAACAAGCAAAACGTGTACCATTTCACCTTCAAAAACTACGTTCCTACAAAAAAATACTGTTTATCATTAATATGAAACGAGAGAATGAAATATAATCAGCCATTTTTTTAAAAAAAGATCTACCTTTCCAGGCACTATATTCTTGTTGCTGGCAAACTGGAGGCGAGCGTGGTGCTGTGAATATTTTTAAAAACAACCTGTCAGACGGCGCAAGTCAGTAGCAAGAAGGATTCGTCTGTCAAAAAATCTTCACCGTGTTCAAAATCTTTTAATAAGTCATGTGATTATAACAAACGCTCACCAAAGAAGCGAGAAAAAGACAATTAATACTCGATTGAACTAAGAAACTATAAAGTCTGTACAGAGCTTGTATATGCAGAATACCCCGGACAGACTTTAGAATAACCTTACAATGGGAGTGACTCGCGTAGTAAATGGCAGTGGAACAGACGTGTTCTGCGAGCTGTGAAAAACCAAAACGCCGAGTGACAGAGAGATTACTATGTAGCGTAAAACGTCCATGACATCAAGAAGCCCATATATCATCATATATACTCTTTGCGTCTTGAATACCCTTCAGCGGCATTCACAGTGCAGTGCAGCCACTCTCTCACACTTCGTTCACGACGGAGCCGCACAATTACAAATATATGCATTTAAACCAAAAGCAGCCTGGTGGTAAATTACCGAGCACGTCTCTGGCCATGCGGAATTTCGCATCCATGAATAGTAACTGGACGCATTCGCACGCGATCTAAAGCGCATATGTAACGGGTCGTTGTTTAGATCAAGTCTGTCCACATGTTCGCCGCGCGGCGTCATGAAAAATATGCCATCCAACGGATTATTTGCCATTTCAAAAACGCTCACTCGATCACTCGTGTCACTCTATCGAGTCCGAAAAGAAAACTGCGCGTTTCCTTCGCAGGCGGGGCGGCTTGCTCATTAAATAAAATTAATTAAGCGCATCATTAGCATTGCTCGCAGCGACAGCAAGCTTATTAACTTCGTGAACATCCGGATCTTAATGAGCTTCCGGACGCAGCGCGCGAGCTATACGCTACACATACATAAAACCATGAGCGCGCACGGAAAGAAAATTCAGTCCGGGCTTATGGAGGTTTTACCGCAAGTCGGTTCGTCCGGTAATTACAATTTTCACAACAGACTTCTTCGCAAAGTAGTCGCCGGCACGGACAACTCGTGATTAAGGCGCAATTGGATGACACGGTGGCGGATGCGAAAAAACACGCGGATGATCTTTTACACGTGGATAAAGAACTAGTCAAAAACGATGATTCTAATCTCGAATCAAAGGTAGAAAAATTGGAAAAGGTCGATGTGAAGAAAGTATTGCGCGAGGAAGTCGATAAGCGCATGACGAGTTTCGATAAGCGCATGACGAGTCATGACGACTCGTTTAAATGGGTATATGAAGAGACTTGAAAATAAGATTGGGGTTTTTTAAAGGAGACCTCCTTGTGTGTATGTGTGTGTGTGTATGTATATACATGTCAACACTTGTTCTCGTGTATTGGTGCTGTCATAGTTCGCACCGTGTGTATAACGACAACGACGAGAGATTGTACTAGACCATCCGACTTGGAGTTACGAAGAGAGAGGAGACGGCAGAGAGGCGCACGAAGGCGCGATGGGTCGCGGAATTTTTTTGCGAGGTCGATGCGTCGGCGGTCCCTGTAGGAATCATCGTCTGCAAGGGAGTGCCATACGAAAGGGAAAGACGAGAACTGCGCGAGGCGGAAGGAAGAGTAAAAGAGGCCGGTTTCTTCCTGCCCTCATCCCCCTCATTGCATCCATCCTAAGCGGGCTGAGCGCGCTCGGGACTGCCGCAGGCGGCGCTGCCACTGTGAAAAACGCCAAAAACAAAAACGAAGAATTAGCGGAAATGGTGCGTCATAACAAGGTCGTCGGAAATACCACAAAAAGATCGGGCGTGTTGCTAAGCGCCGCGAAAATGCTTCGAACGAACAGGAAGACGAAGGGGAGGAGGGGGAGGGGGAAGTCTTGAAAAAACTAAAGAGTGGAAACCGCGTCGAACGCTCACGCACGAGGAAATGACGTTTTGCGAAGAAGATCTTGAACATTCCTAATTTTCGAGGCGTGTTTACGCGGGATGTGCTGCCCCCCCCCCAAAAAAAAAGGGCCGAGCGTGAGTGCGGCGTCGTCAGTCTCGACGATGCCAGCGGCGACGGTACTCATTTCGTCGCTTACGTGAAGCGAGGCCGAACGGTTCGTTATTTCGATTCGTTCGGACTTCCGCCCCCTCCCGAATTCCTTCGATACGCGCGCGGAAACCGCATGACGTACAACACGCGTCAAGTTCAAAAATCCAACGCCGACAATTGCGGCAAGTTATGCCTACAATTTCTTTTTCGCGAATGGAAGAAGAAGAAAAAGGAAGATTAAACACCGGACGTTATCATTTCGCTTGAGACGTTCGTGTTATGCGCACGTACACTTTAATCGGGATGGGGCCGGAGATCTCGGTGAAGTTCGCGCCAGGTGTCGACCTCTCGAACGACGTTTACGAGATCGCGTTAGTGCATCATACTGTTCACATCATTCGCAACGTGAAGGATGGTCATAACCAACTCCACTACGAGCAAGCTATGTGCTATCCGTCCCTCCGGGTACATATACCTTAGAAGACATCAATCATCATATATCGAACGTCATACATAAACAGTTTGACGGTGACTTTGCGAGTAAGAAGCACTTTTTAGATTTGGAGGCGGACCCGCAGATGAACAAAGTGCGCGTCAACACGTCATTCACGCACATTTACGTTGCGAATACGGCAAGTTCATTGGCCCTCTCCTCGGATTTTCAAAGACCGTGTCACCCACACCTTTTGGGGAGTACGTGACTGCCGATGCTTTGCCAACGATCGTGAAAGATTTTGAAGTGTTCGTGACGTGATCGAAAGCGGGTATATAAACGATCGAATAGCCCACGTGCTGTATCAGTTTCACGTGAACGATTTACCCGCCACCATCATCGAAGAAAGACCGACCGAAAAAATCTTTCACCGCGTCACGCGAAAGTGGATCGACGAGATATCGATTCGTCTAGAGAACGCGGACGGTCAACTGATTCCGTTGTACTCGGAAACACCGCTGACGTGCACCTTGCTCGTACGCCCCAGAAGCAATAACAATGCAGCTTTCTTCTAAAAGAAGAAGAAGAAGAAGAACTCCGGTGATGAAAAACTATAAAATGCAGGTCGTTTCGCGATGAGGCACAGAGTGCTTTGTCTGCTTTCCACGTGAACACCATCCAGTCGACAAACCTTACGAGTTTTAGGTTATAGTCTAGTTCTCCAAGAAAGAACAAGAACGAGGAGAAGAAGACTAAAAAGAGAATGAAAGTGAATCATCATTCTTCAACTGAATGTATACCGACGAACATGCTATAGACATTCTTCGCAAAGAGAATATTAAACACCACATCCTCGGTGTCGCGGTTCACGATCACTTGCCGTATGTCAAATCGTTTAATAACGACGAGATACGTATTACTATCGCGAATAAGGACGCCGTTCTTCTACCGTGCGACAGTTCTCTGGTCTTCCGAGGTTCCGAAGACAAGGAAGGGATCACGGATCGCCCTAACACTGAATTGGTGAACAACGGCTTCGCTTTTCTCTTTAGCGAAATTCATTATGAAATCAACAACGTGATTGTCGATGTAGTGAAAAATCCCGGCTTCACGACCACCTCGAATAATCTTCCGTTGCTCTCTTCGGCGGAAAGAAGAGCATTGGGGTGCGTGGGATGGACCGAGGAGGTTGAGTTGTATAACGGCGATGTTTGCAACAACAAACGCGCCTTCTACGAGCCGGACGGAAGGTTCTTCGCGATCATCCCATTGAGATTGTGGATGGGATTTTTCGAAGACTACACTCGCGTCATAACCAGTGTTAAACACGACCTCCTGTTGATTCGCGTTCGCAAAGATAAAAATTGCCTCTTTACAAAAGCAGCAGCGGTAGATGCAGCAACGTTTACTATTCGCGATGTCATTTGGAGAATGCCTCATCTCACACTCAGCGACTACGCCTCCGTGGCGAGGGAATTCGACAGCAGGCGACCCATCCCCATTCAATTCAGACGACAGGAACTACACGAATTGCCTTGTATGTGGCCTTTTCAGTGGGCGGTCAAAACCGTTCCGAAGGAGGATCATCCCCTGTACGTTATTTTCGTTTTGCAAACGGACAGGGATGACGACTATAAAAAGAACGTGTGGGTTCGATGATAACGATAATGTAAGAGAAAAACTGTATCTCAACGACGAGTCTTACCCTTATTCCGAACTTTCATGTAAAATAACTTATTATAGAAACAAGGACCGGTACACTTATCTCTTTGAAATGATAAAAAAAACATGGAAGCAAGTTACTACAATCTTCATCCGTCATCAGCTATTACAATGGACTTTCTTTGAATCTGTCCTTTTATTTGCTGGGACGTCTCAGCGAGATCGTCTACCGTGGATCCTTCGCAAACCAACGTTAAGATCACATGGGGAACAGAAACACACATGCCGGCCAAAACTTCCGCGTATTGTCTCATTATCTCCAAAACGGAAGTGCAATACGCACCAATCGACGACTTTGTGGTGAAGAAAAACGTGATCTATACGAAGGCGCGTGTTTCGCTCAATGCCTTCATTTCGTGTCCTTCCGTCGCGAGATGATGAACGTCAGTCGTGGAAAAGAGGAAGAAGAAGAACTTCCATCTGCTTCGCCCGGTGAAGACGAAGTTGGTTCGTCTTGTTCTTGCGATTCGCAACTCGCAGTTTTTGGAAGTAACGTAGGTGATATCAAAAAAACATGGAGGAGACGTCTCCACCATCTCTCGATTTTCCTTCTGCATGCGGTCATCCATGTCCGATGCATTGTACATCGAAAAATAAGAAGAAAACCAGAAAGGTCGCAAAAACAAAAGAGCGAAAGAAGAAACATCCCAACAACATCACGACAACGGCTACTATGGAACGATCGACATCAACCTCACCGGATACGCTCTGTTGCGATCTTCTTCTTCCGCTGGCCGTCAGCGGATGCGCGCGCAACGCAGCGGAATGGTTAGCGAGAGCTGTCCAGATGGCGACTGCATCGATGACTGCCACCACCGACATTCATAACAGTCATGTTTAATGTGTGTGTGTGTGTCGCCTTTTAATTTTTTTTATTTTATCAATAAAATTACTTATTTCATTTTATTTGTATTTTTTCATTTCTTATCCTCATCACACACCGAGTGGGGTATTTTTATCCCTTTCCCCCTCCCTCTCTCTCCTTTGGTGGTGATTCACGTTTTAAAAACAGTTCCCTTCGGCAGCATGCAAACAGTCTCTCTCGTTCTTCGCATGGTGATGATCGTTGTTCAACAATCGGTGACACTGCCCGTCGTGAACGTGACGGCCTTATGGTGCGGAATAGATGATGAGAAAAAGAGTCGACACTGGCCGCTTTTCCCCGATAGCGTGCGTGCTCTTATCGTGGGACCTTCCGGATGCGGAAAGGCAAACGCGGTCGTCTCGATTCTCACCGGAAAGTTCGGACTGGCGTGACACGCAGCCCATGTACATGAACTTGAAACACGGCGACGGTC